CAGGGACATTTGAGGGGTCTGCCCCTTTCCACATGGCTGTAACCCAACAGTGATGTCTCTAGTTTTGATGAGCTGCTCATTGTCCCCCAGCCCCAGACTGGAGCCTCAGGCCATCATTCATGGCACAAAACTCTTTAGGATACACCAGGGGATGGCTGGCACCTGCCCCCAGCGATGCTGTCCACCCTAGACAGGCTTCTTCTCTTCTAGGCAAACAGCTGGTGTTGCAAGGGTCAGAGGGAGACCACCACTGGCTGGGCAGGTCCTCGGGTCTGGCCGGCTTTCAGCTTGGGACAGACACCAGGTGGCCCTGGCCCTGGTGATCTCTGCTCTTCAGGATATCCACGTCACCCACATCCTGGGGCTGGACACAGCTGGAAGGTCCAGCAGGCTGGGGTTCTTATCCATGCAGTGCAGACCAGGCCTGTGCTCTGAGGGAGGCAGGCACTTCCCGCCTTCATAAGCTCTATGGCGAGGCACACTCTGCCTTTCCCCAGCCAGGTGGGTGGCCATGGGCTCTGGTCTGTTACGCTGTGATGACAGGACGGTGTCTGCCTGTTCACAGTGATTGGAGACCAATGTCAGCAATTGCAGGAGCTCAGTGTCTGTGGAGTAGAGCAGCCATGGGGCTCTTCCTCCATCCTGTGGTTTCACACCTGCAGACACCAATCGTCACTCTTCCCTTGGCAGCCCCCAAAGCACATCCAGAAATATGATTGTGGGGTTGGGGGCATAGCTCAGTGGGAGAATGCCTGCTAAGGGCAAGGCACTGGGTTCAATGAGGGGGGGTGGAGACAGAGAGGGAGGGAGGGAGGGAGGGATGGAAGGAAGGGAAGGGGAAAGAAGAAGGAAAGAGAAGGAGGAAAAGAAAAAATGTCAAATAATAAGGCCCAAGATGCTTCCTCAAGAAGCCTCAAGAGGTTTGAGGTTTTTCTCACTGACCAAGGGGGTCCGAGGAAGCTTCCACAGGGCCCTTGCACAGTGGGATCACAGTCTATGACACTGGGAGGAAGTAAATGTCAGTGCTGTGAGTAGGGGGCTGAAAGACCAGGCCCTGCCCTACCAGTGAGCCCCTTCCCAGCTCAACAGGAAGCAGGGCAGGGTCTGAGAGCCAGCTGGTGTTTAGAGACCAGTCCCACTACCCCAGTCCATTGTCACCTCCCAGTGGGGGCTGAATCTGATTCCTCTTCTTTTTTTAATTGGAAACAAGATGTGCAGGAAAATGAACACCTTGGCTCCCAGAGCCTTGGAGCATATTGGTTAGGGACCTGGGCACGGGCGCCATGGGCACTGGGTCTGAGTGCAAATTCTACCTTTTGCCTGTTCTGTGTCCAGGGCAAGTCATGCTCTCTGAACTCAGTTTCTGCACTGGAAGGGAGAGCCATGAGACCAAGCTAAGAAGATGCTGTGAGGACGCATGGCGGGGGGGGGGGGTTGTGCACACCCACACATCCCTCATGAATGCTGGTCCGCCATGCCTGCTGGCCTGGGCTCCAGGTTCTCTCAAGCAGCCAAGGTTACAGGCACAAGAGCCGACCCTGCAGGCAGGCAGGCAGGAGAGGGCAGCAGAGGCCAGGCCCAGCTGCCTCACCAGGGCTTTCCAAGGGCTGAATATGCTGGGAAAAGGGGACCCAAACTTCAGCACTCACCAGAGCCACCTAGCAAACTGGAGACCTCCAGAGGATAATCAGTTTGGGAAGACCCCCCCCCCACTCCCAGCCCAGCGAGCTTCTGGTGAAGGCAGATCCCAGGGTGCACTCTGAGAGCTGCCTTGAGAGGAGAAGCCTGCTAGGCGCCACTGGCCTCACTGGGGTCAGGAAGATTAGGAAATTCTGCTGGTGGAAAAGTTACTGTTAAAATTCCAACGCTTTGTTGTTTATTTAGAGATGGAGTCTCACTATGAAATCCGGGCTGGCCTAGAACCCCTGATCCTCCTGCCTCTGCCCCCCTAGTGTTGGTATTACAGGCATCACCACCATGCCCAGCAAAGTTCCACCTCTTGAGCCATATGGCTGGCTTCCTTCTCCCTAGGAAGGCAGGGAAGTCTAGGTGCATCCAGAAAGGTGGGAGTCCAGCTGTTCCCAAACTGGTTGCTCACTGTAAGTCCCCAAGCAGGTTCCCTATAAAATATGGATTATTACACCTCCCCTCCCTGCACGTACACACACATCACCAGGACAGGCATATACACCACACCACCAGATCTCTAGGGTGAGAAATGCCCAATCCCCTCTAGGTGCTGGAGAGCTAGGCATCTCTTGGCTCCTTTGGAGGTCATTTCATTAACCACAATTCCCCTACGTCTACCAGGACAGTATGGTCAGAGCCATGGACACCAAGGCTCACTGGTGATTGGCTTGCTCAGGGCAAAGACTACCTGCTATCTTTTCACTATCTCCAAGGAGAACTGCAGGCTGGTAGGTGGCTCACAGGGCTCTCCTGCACCAACAACTGTTCCCTGCCCTTGATCCTCCAGCCCCAAAGAGGAAAGAAAACAGTGAGATAAAGCTGGCTTTTGTGGGCCAGGTGCCTTCACATCAGAAGCCCATGCCTGGATGCCTTCTGCAGCCAGGTGCTACTGGCCCTGGCCCTAGGGGCTGAGGTCCATGCTCGAAGACCCAAAGTCCCTCCTGGCCAGCCTGCAGTCCCACCTGGCTGGGGCCAGGGAGCTCAGAATCCTCACCCAAATGCTTCTGGGAGGCAAGGAGAGAGCATCTGGGCTCCGCTGTACCCAGAGCGTGGGACCCGTTCGAGAAGTGCGGTGCCCTCCAGATGTGCGATGCACCACCAGCAGCTAGGAGAAGTGCATCCTTGCCACATCTTCCAGCCTTTTACTACGGGGGAGGGGGAGCGGTTACATACACTCAGGGCATCTGGGCTGTGATGCTCTAGGGCAAACCCTTAAGATACGCATGGAGATGCCTAATTAATTCTACCTAGGATGCTCTGTGTTAGCTGATAACCCCCTATGCACTTAGGTGATAGAAATTCACACCAGACTCCAAAGTGCTTTTGCATTATAAGGTTGTAACTTGCACATGACCGCCACACTTTTGCGGGAGCCCAGGCGGAAAAAGGCCCTGGGGGAAAAAACCCAACCAAGGGCGGTCTGCGGAATGCAGCGGGGGAGGCGTCAAATCCGAGCATGGATTCGGAGGCGATTTTTCTGCCGCACCTGGCCCTTCCGGACTTGCCTGGAACCGGACTCTTCCACTAGGCAAGGCTGGACTTTCCCTCGTCCTCAGGCGGCAGGTCAAGCCTAGAAGAGAAGCAAGGCTCTGTCCTCTGGTAACCCGGGCCAGTTTTCCTATGCTAGCCGGTTTGGGTGCCTCCCACCCAGCTGGCTCAAGGACGTAGGAGAGCTGGGAGAACTCGCTGAAATGAAGACATCAGCCGGGCAGATGAACAGAAAGCCGAAGTTCGCCGCCACCTGGGACTCTGGTACACCGGCGCCAAAGCTCAAAGCCACGCGCAATGAAGGCGCACGGGGGCCTTTGGCGCTCCAGGCGCAGAGTGAGCGGTGTGGGGGGCTGGAGACGCTGTAGGAGTCCTGGGAGTGCGCCGGCTGGGCCGGAGTTGGGTTTCTCCTAATCAACCCTACTTCCCCAAAGCCTCCATCCTAATTGAGGCGCAATCTCTGGCCGAGGGGAGGGGCGCTCTTGTCCGCGGAGGCCGTCTGGACGCGGACGCCACGTTCCCGCGCGGAGAGGTTTATTTTCCTGGTCATGGTGAGAGATGGAGATACGGAGAGGTGGCCTCCGCATCCCGGGAAGGACTGTGCCTTCTCCCCCTACTCCCACCCCGCCGCGGGGTTTCGAACCTGCTCCGGGAGCGCAAGGCCCGGCGCGTGCAAGCCAACGCGCAGCGTCCCACAGTCCTTGGCCTGACGCTGCGGCCCGCTTGAGCTCCGGAGCGATGGAGTCGCCGGCCTTTTCCTGTCCCCTTTATCTCGGTTTTATAGACAGCTGTTAGTTTGGGACATTAATTGCCCGGGCGAGTTTATTGATAATTTTGATGTAACAGAGCACCGGAGAAATTACCCCCACGTCCAAAACGTCAACTCTGAGAAGAAGCAGGTACAGACTGGAGACCCCACGGCGCGCAGACACTGCGGTGGGTCAGGCGCGCGCACCGACAATGTGACTTATCGTGCTTGTTTTCCTGGGTGGCCAGGATCGGAATAGAGGGGGAGTAAGCGGAAGACACAAGCTTTTTGTTTTTGGTTTTTTTTCTTTCCCCAGAAAAGGAAAAATACGATTTAGGAAGAAAACGTTACCGGATCGGAAATATGCCGGTAGCTTTGCGCTCCCACCAATGGCCCCTTCCAAGCTCAGATTATACCCGATTTGCGATTGGGGAAAACCAAGTATTGGGTACAAAAAATAGTAAGACAAAAAGCAAAACTTTAAAGTTGTTTCATTGTTTATAAAAGCTAGAATAAGAGACCCGTAAAGTCTGAGGCTCAGAGTAAAAAACTCATTGGTCTTGGAGGGGCAAGTTAAAAAAAAAAGTATATATAAACATGTACATAAATTTACATATATGTATGTCCATAAATTTACATATGTATATAGTCTGGTTTTCTCCAGGGGAATTTGGACATTTTAACTTTAACCTTTGATTATTTCTTAAAAATAAAAATGACATTGAGAGGGGCGGAGGGCTCTTCTTAAAAAACAGAAGCCAAGAAAAACCGTTACTCCTGTCCAGATTTTACTTCAATGTGAAATGAAGGGTAAAGAGAGAAGGACTGGCCAAAAAAAAGAAAGAAAGAAAAAAAACAAAAAAAAAAACCAGAAAAAGAAAAAAAGGTATTTAGTTACCGAGATTTAAAATTTTTAAAGTGTTCAGAGACCCGAAGTCTTTCTATACTTGGGGTCTGGAGACATTTGCAGACCCTCCCCCAACACGATTTTCATGTGATTTTATTTCTGCTAGATACGGGTTTAAAGGCCATGTACAAATGTTATACATTTTTATTTTTGTTCTTTTTTTTAGGAAAAAAATACACAAAAGGCAAAACATCCTTGAATTGTCATTTTATACAGTGCAGAAGGAAATTTAAAATGTGTCACAAACGCTGCACCCCAGCAGCCAAAAAACTAAAAAAGGGACGGGGGATAGTCCTTCATATTATATATATATTTATATAAAACATATGGAATTTTGTTTTTACATGGATCGGTCTTTGTTTCAAATTTACAATGGATATCTAAAAAAAAAAATCTACACGGCAAATATTGCCAACAAAGTTACACCATTAATACTGATAAACGGAGGAGCCTATGCGGCGTTTCGATTATTAGGGAAAGAAAGAATAAATAACACGATGAGCCTTGCTAGAGTTTTAAAAAGTGCCTTAACCTTTCTGCATCTCGCGCGGCCACGGGCCTCCCCGTCCCTTCCTCAAGCTGTGTTCCGCTAGTTTTCTCCAACCGGAAAGTTTACAGTAGAGATTGGGAGAGAGAAAAACACCCACGGAAAAAGTCAAAATGCAATCCCAAACAAAACGAACACACTGAAGAGAAGAAGGGGGAGGTGGAAGGGGACGGTAGAGGCCACACGGACAGACGGACAGCCGCTCGCTTCTTGGCTCCTTCTATTTTCTTTCAAAGACGAACAGTGGCTTTGGAAATGCAAGTTCTGTGCACAACCATCCACCTGTGGTTGCTGATGGAGACGTCTGGGGTGGGGAAGGAGGTCGCCGTGCCTTGTCCCCTCCTCCTCCCAGCAGAAGATGGCTCTAAAGGGACATTCTTTCAAAAAAAAAGTTAAAAAGATAAATACTCAACCAAAAAATAAAAATATTTGATAATGATGGGTCTCACATGCTTGCATTTCTTCTAAAAAACAAAAATCCTCCCTCACTTTCGCCATTGGGGGGAGGGGGACCTCAGCAGAATTCTTTTCGAGCTGAAGGCTTTCCCCAACACAGCACCTTCGCAGCCTTTTTCAATAGGATCGAAAATACTTATTTACCGACAGCTGCAGTCGGATCAGGCCCCCACCGCCACCATTTTTTAAAATTTGTGAGGGAGTAGGGGAGAAGTGGTCGACCACAACGCTGGGTTTTGCTGGGGATTTCTTTCCAAATAATCCTGTTGGGGAAGGGCCGGACTCTTTTCTTCTGCCGACGGTTATACCTCGAGAATAAAGCAGTTTCTGACGGTGGGCTCCGAGGTCCCTGGGCTGCCGGCCTGTGCCGGGAGGGCCCGCGGCCGCAGCCTCACATCACACAGGGCTTGATGTCTTGGTAGGTGACCTGCTGGTGGTAGTAGGAGCCGCCGCCGGCTGAGTGCATGGACGAGGACGCCATGGCGTTGAAAGAGAAGACAAATTCTTTTCGGTCACACATGCTGGGCGACTGCGAATGATACCGCGGAATGCCTGCAAGGCGAGGCGACAGCAAGGGTTGGGGGTACAAGAGTTAGCGTCTGGGCGGAGAAGGGGCGCTACCCGCGGGCGCACGGGGCGGCCCATCCCGGTTGGGGCGCACGGCAGCCTCCCCACGCGCGCGATGGGTTCCCGGCCTGGGGTGTGGCGGGGCCTGCAGTGCCAGGCAGCTGGGGGGATGCGGCCCCTCGCTTCGCGCCCCGCAGGACAAACCCGTCGCATTGGCGGGGAGCCCTGCTCTGGGCAGCTCCCACCTAGCGGGCCTCTCTCTGCTTAGACACCTCCCCGGCCCCGCGGACGGCTTCCCCAAACCAAAGGAGAAGATGGCCTGCAGACGCGAGAACTTGCCTGGCCTAAGCCCTGCACCGCCACCGCCACTCGGGTGGAGCGAGAGGCCCTAGCAAACCCAGCGACCGACTTGCCATCAGCAAGACAAGCAAGGGCTTCTCCAAGAATCCTTTGGAGAACAGACCCCAGGGCAGCTGGAGCTGGAATGTGCAAGGGCCAAGCAGAGCAACCCCCATGGAGAGGCAGCCCACCAGCCTCCAGGCCTGGCTCTGGGCTCCAGCCTCCTGCAGCCTGCTGACAGCTGACCCCTGACTGCCCAGCTACTAGCTGCTGCTCCCAGAACTAGGCCCAGAAGGAGATAGCCACTGGTGGAGGTTCACAAGCAAGAGACAGTTGATCATCTTTCTCAAGGGGTTGTGTGTGTCTGGGGGGAGGATCTGGAGACCTGAAAACCTGGATCCTGAGAAACAAAGAATGTCTGCAGGCCGCTGTTGGGATGCTTAATGGGTCTGGCCACCACACTGCCCTACCCCTGTCACCACAAAATGCCCCTGGACTCACTGCCAGGCCTGGTTCCCTGAAGGCCTGGGGCTGAACCTCTGAGTGCTGCTCTGGCCGCTTTGGGCCTAACTCTTCCGTTCTGCCCTGGCTGGACAGACTGCTGAGGGCCCTGCCAGGGGATGATGGGCCTGCTGACCAAGGCTGGGGGTCCTGGCTCCATACCGAGATGTTTCTGAGGAGAAGGGACCATGAGGGACCCCAAGGACTTAGATTATTGAGATCCAAAACTTTTTGGTGAGAATGGGGCCTACCTGGTAAGGCTTGGGGCGGCCAGCAGGCAGAGTTGGAACAGAAAGAAACCAATTAGCCCATATCCGGGGCCTCAAGCTGGACTCACCCCTCAAAAGGAGAGAGGTGGGACCAAGAGGCACCCTGGGAACTGGTGTTCCCCTCTGCGTTGGGTCTGAGTCCTAGAAATGGAGTTAAATTCAGCCCAGGGGAGTCAGCGTGTCTGGGGCTGGGTCCCACGGGCACTCACCTTGCAGCTCAGCTGGGGCGTTGTGACTGTTCTGGTGCAGGTACGGCTGATCCAGGGAGTGCGTGGAGAGGCTGCCGGACAGGGGGTTGGCCGTGGGATTACAGGGGGACAAGGGCTGCTGCTTGATGTAGGAGGCGCCGCTGTTGAGCGCCGCGGAGGCAGAGGGCGGCCAGGCTGCGGCGGAGCCAGAGTAGACGGCATGCGGCTCCATGACCCCGCTGGCGGCTGCCGGCAACAGTGGGGAGGCGGGCACCGAGCTGTCGTGGTGCGGGTACTCGCCAGCCGCTGCGCCCCCGCAGCTGCCCATGTACGAGTGGCCGCCGTTGGAGGGCAGGTGGGGCACCGAGTGGCTGGGCAATGCCATGCCGTCCACGTTGCCCGGCAAGTGGCCGTTCATCATTCCCAGGCCGCCCTCCAGCGCCAGGCTGTTGGGAGGGCACGAGAGGCCGCCGGCCGAGCCCTGGAAGCCGTAGGTGTCCGGGAGGTGGTTGAAGCCGAGCCCGTTCATCATGCTGTACATAGGCTTGAGCGCCTGGCACTTCCTTCGGAAGCCGCGCGGCCGCCGCCGAAAGGAGCCCTCCTCGAACATGAACTCGCTGGCCGGGTCGATGGTCCAGTAGTGGCCCTTGCCGGGCCGCCCGAGGCCCTTGGGCAGCTTGATGAAGCACTCGTTGAGCGAGAGGTTGTGGCGCACGGAGTTCTTCCAGCCCTGGTAGGAGCCGCGGAAGAAAGGGAAGCGGCTCTGCAGAAACTGGTAGATCTCGCTGAGCGTCAGGCGCTTGGTGGGCGAGCTCTGGATAGCCATGACTATGAGCGCGATGTAGGAGTAGGGCGGCTTCTCCGGGCGCCGGATGCCGGCGTTCGTCTTCTTGGCCTTGGACTGGCCGGACGACGCGGGGTCCATGGCCGCGCCGCCTCCCCCGCCGCTGCCGCCGCCGCCGCCGTGCGGTGGCTGCTGCTTCTCGGGCGCCGAAGACATCGGGTGGCTGCTGCCGCCGCCGCCGCTGCCGCCGCTGCTCTGCGCCGCGGAGGAGCCGGGAGGAGGAGGAGGAGGAGGAAGAGGAGGAGGGGGAGGAGGGCAAGGGGGAGGGGGCTGCGCGCGCGGGGCTGGCTGCACCTCTGCCGTCATCGGCGGCCACTTCTCCCGAGCGAGCCTCGGCGCGCCCTCCCCCGCTCGCTCGCCCGCCCGCCCTCCCCGAGGAGCTGCAGGATCCGCCGGCGGTTGGCTCAGAGCCCCCCTCTCGCTCCAACTGCCCCCTCCCCCACCCTTTCTCCTCCTTCTTTCTCTCTCGCCCTCCCACCGGGGAAGGAGCCGAGCGGAGGCCGAGGGCAGCCCGGGAGGAGGCCGCGAGGAAGCTCCCCCCGGGCTTTTGTGGGGGAGGCACCACCTCCTGGGGCTGCGGCCGTGCGCCCCCGCTGAGAGCAGCGCTGGGTCCCCGCCGCCCGCGGCGCTCGGCTCCGCGATTCCGGCCCGGGCCGCTTTCACTGCATCTCCGCTCGGCGGCGTCCTGCCGGCCGGCGTAGGACCCTCTAGGAGTTCCCTCCCCTCCCTGCCCCCCTCCAGCCCCCGCCTTGGTGGGCGCTTAAAGGGCCCCCACCCTCGCCGCCAGCAGAACCCGCCCCGCCTCCACCAACCTGGCGAGCAAGTGTTAATGCGCCCTTCGCCCGCGGCTCAGCCCCGACGCGCTCAGGCCCCCGCCTTCTAGGCCCGGGCGGCGCAGCAGGAAACGCGCCTCGGACCCCGGGCCTCCGCCGACACGCACCGCCCTGCGGCAAATCGCAAGTGCCGATGCCGCCAAGTCGTGACCATCGTGGGCATGGCCGGCTTGGCTCCGGGTCCCCGTGGCCGGACGCCGTAAGTTCCCGCGAGGGACCGCCTACCCACACTATCCGCCCCGGGAAAGACTGCGCCGCGCCCGAGATTTTTTGGACTCGCCCAGCAGCGCGCGAGCGGGCAGCCAGCCGCCCAGGGCCGAGCGCAGGCGGAAAACGAAAGCGCAGGGCGGGTCGCGGTCGCTTTGTCTCTGGCGCCTCAGGCCGGACAGTGGGCAAGTGAGAACCTCTGGCCCAGAGGCGCCCGAAACCGCACAGGTTTCCTGAACAAGCGTCCCGCTCGCTCATTCATCCATGCGTGCGCACAGTCGTGCATTAATGCACACGCATTTGTATGCACTGATGCACATGCAAAGCCAGTGAATTACAGAGACTCAGAGGGGCAAACTCACATCCGTGCGTTCATGACCCCACACGCAACACGTGCACGCGCATTGTTGCGCGCTCACACACAACTAAGAGGCCCACGGGACCTTAAATTCGCACTCACGGTCATACACGCACCGTGCTCTGATATAAACTCATATGTGGCCCAATTCTTCCCCAATTCCCGCCTCCCCCCCCCCTACGCACTTTATGTGCGCTTATTTGCCTAGCGGCTCTGAGTCCCCATTTTCCAAGCGCAAGTTCTGATTTCCCGAGAGATGGCAAGGCCCTGGCAGGAAGTTTACACGACTCAACGTAAACACGTTCTGGGGGATTCGTTAATAATAATAATAGAGAATTCCGCGGGCGCGGGGGGGAGTTGGCCTAATGCCCCTGTGGGCTCGGCCTGCCGCCGCCGCGGGGCCTCTGACTCCGCGCGCCAGGCCAGGTTCCGGAAAGCAGACGGCGCGGGCGGGGAGCGCGGGCCAGGGCGGCCCTCGGGCTCCTGGCTGCCCGCCCGCAGGGGGCTCGCACGAACGTCTTCCCTCGCCAACCTCGCAGCGCGGGCGTGCGGGCTAGGCTGGCGGTGGTGGGAAGGAGGTGTTCACCGCGGAGCGCAGGACTGCGCAGGAGCCTGGGCGCAACGCCGCGCGCACAGACCAGGTGAGTGCGGGTCTTGCGCACACCGCTGGGCGCGGGGCTCGACCGCTCTCGCTCGGATCCCGGGTCGGGAGGAGGGTCGGGAGCGTGAAGGGTATTTTCACGTGTCTGCGCAAGGAGCCGAGCAGCAGTGACCCAGCGCAAGCTGGGTCGGGAGGCGTGTGCCGGGCTCTGCGCCCGGCCTGCGGCTCCTTCAAAGCCCACCGGCCTCTGGGGTTTCTCCGGACTCCTGGCCCCCCGCTGCCCACCCCCCATGCCTTAGCTTAGGCGGAAGACGCCTTGCCGCCTTCGGGGCGCCTGGCACGTCCGTGCGAGGAGCTGGGAGGTTTGCTGGCTGAGGTTGTCCGGTTGTCGCCGCCTTCCCTGGCCGAGCCGGGTTCGCGGCAGACGAGTCGCCTTCCCTGCGCTGCGTTTCAGTAGTCCCCCGCGCGCCGACACCCCACCCTGCCTGGGGAAAGGGCGAGTGTAGGACGTGAGCGCTTAGTTTGTGATTGTGTATTCTCGCAGACAGACGCTCACTGTCAGACCCACTCTTACTTCACGCAACCCACAGCGTTCCCACTCACAGACACTTTCAGCCGGGCCTACAGATTTGCCTACCCCACACGCGAACATTCTCACGGACTGCTCAGGTGCCCCAGCCCTCCAAGAGACCCACAGGCCTCGCCGCTTACGGACGGGAGCACACAGTCTGTGCAGCCTACGTAATGCTGCACTGCGTCTTCGTCCACGCATAGCCAGACACGCTTGCACACACAATCATAAGATCTGCGCTCAGCACCAGCGTACACACACAACCATGCACACGCATTCTCACAGTCTCTCCCTTTCTCTTTCTCTCTCTCCCTTTCCCTCTCTCTACCTGTTTCTTTCTTTCCTGTACACCAGTATGCCTCCACCAGCGCAGGGAGGGAAGTTCCCAGGAAGGGGTAGCTACACAGCTGTCCTTTCACAGAGCCCTGGACTGGGGGAGGCTGCACGGGGTGCATCCCTATCCCCTGGCTTTGCAGAATCCACCTTCGGCTAACTGGGATTTTGCTTTTCCTCTCTTCCCGGCCCTTCTGAATATCACTGTCTTTCATAGGCTCCTTATGTTTTGAGGTGAGTGGCATCTGCCTCTTGGAGGAGGAAGGTGGAGTTGGAGCCCCACTTTGCCTTTACTTATTTCTTAATTATGACTCTGCCGGGCAGGGGGCCGGAGAAAGTGTTCACTTGCCCTGGAAGAGAGGGGGCCCAGCAGCTTAAGAGTCTCAGGGATGTCAAAAGCCCAGGATTTCCCCTGCCCAAATTCCACACTACTGAGATGGGGGTGACGGCAGGGGCCTGAGAGGGGAGGAGGAATGAGCCCCCCCATTCTGGAAAAACCACAGCCCAAACCAGTAGGGTTGTCTGTGAGCCCAGTGACTAAGTTCTTGACTCTTAAGATGCCCTCCCTTAATCTTGTATTTTTGAGGTGGGAAACTGAGGCCCAGAGAGGCATACCATCTCTCCAGCCTTCCTCTGTCCCCCAGGACAGAAGATATGGCACTGTGAGGGTTTCCTGTCCCCCAGCATAGGCCAGGAGTAAGAAGAGCAGACTGACATCCAAGTACTTGCATTGCCCCTGAGCTCCAGGGGACAGAGACTCATTGAGAACTGAGGGTGATAAAATAATAATGACAACCACAAACACAAGGACAGTGATAGTACTTATCCAGGGCTGACTGGCACAGGGTGCACTGCTCATACTCCATAAACTGCCTGAAGTGTTCTTAACCATCCCCTGGGCCGTGAACCCAGGTGATAAACTGTTGGAAGCGACCTGTATGCCAGGATTCCCCAAAGGTGAGATGTGTAAAATTGGGGGTTTCACCAAATGCCAGCTCCCTCTCACTGGCTCACCGCCCTCCATGTTTGAACCCAAGGCCCTAGCAAATGCCCCAGGGGGTCTTGTTTAATCTTCCCAGAAGCCCTAACCAAATCATTATTATCTTTACCCTCTCTTTATAGATAGGGCTCAGTTAGGACACACTGTATCCTGCAAAGCCAGGATCCAAACCTGGTAGGATTGGAAGACTGAGCCCACCCTCCCCCCCCCTGCCCCCACACACACCGGAGAGTGAGGTCCAGCGGAGCACAGGACAGAGACCTTCTCCTGCAGGCTCCTTTCTTAGAGCTTAAGCTATTCTAGTAGAAACAAAGACCCCAGGGGCCAAGCTCCTGGGGAAGAAGGGAGAACTGCAGACCGGGTCCCCCGCGGCTTTGCTTTTAACTTAAAATCCATCTAAACCCCTTCCCATCCCAAGTCAGATTTGCACCCTCAGCACCGGCCCCAGGAATCCCCGAATTGGGGAAGGGGTGTAAAAACAGACACGCCTGCGACGTCCTCACTCCCCAAACCCAAGGTATTTTTACTGGCTAATTGCTTAAGTGAAGCCGCCGGGCCGAGAGCGCGCCGTAACCCGAGCGGGGAACCAGATCCAGCCCGGATTGTGCCGGCCGGCCGCGCTGGCGGGCGGGGCAGGGGCGCCGCCGACCACCCACCGAGAGGGCAGCCGCCCTGCTCTGCATTAGCGCCGGCCTGCGGACCCCCCTCCCCACCTTACATCGAGCCCCCTGCGTGGCGTTGTCCAAACGGTGCCTCCAGGTAGGGTGGCCCGGGGGTCAAATCCGCCTTGGGCGCCAGGGGTCGGGAAGCCATATGTCTTGGGGGCGTCAGCGTGAAGTGGAGGAGGAACTGCCTGGGGAAGTCAGACTTCATTGCCGCCCCCCGTAGGGGCAGCAGGGAGGATATGTGGGGGTGAAAACTCAACCCTTGTGTACAGGACTGTTAGGGTCTGGAAGAGAGAGGGAGCCCCGTGCCTGGATTAAAAACCCATCAGAGCGCAGGATTAGCGGGTCCTTCCACCCTAATGTGCGGGGCGAGGGTCCCAACGGCCACCTTGTCGGCAGAGGTGTGAGGCGAGGCGGGTGTCCGATGCGAGGGGTGGGTATTCCGAATCCAGTGAAGTGTGCAGGAGGGTGTTTTCACATGTGATTAGTAAATCAAGACGTGAGTGACATAACATGCTGACTCTGCAGGCAGAGCACTCTGAGTGGAAAGGGAGGTGTTCTGTGCCCAGAATGTTGTAAAACGTGAGTTCGATGTATGGCGTCACGTGCGAGGTTAGGACGTGTG